ATGTATCTGAAGAAGATGAATGAACTCTCCTAGAGTAAAATGAAGGTAACATGCATGGGAATCAAAGTACATGTAATTTCAAACATTTTCATTATTTGTATCACCATTCCAACCAATACCAAAAGTCATGGTTCAAACCTTGCTTGGCCAACTTTCCAATTGTTGCAGAAGAACTCTCATTTACTTCTAAAATTCCAAACCTTGACAATTGGTCAATCACTAAAGTTCAGAAGTGCTCGACACAAAAAATTAACAAAGAGACAAAGTATAGAGTGACACTCAATCAGGACATTGTGTCACATGACCAAGAGTGGCATAAATGCAGTTAGTACCTGTGTTAACTGTTCAGGTGGTTTCTCTAGCATACTCTCCCATGCAGATGTCTCCATGTCCTACAAAAAAAAAAGAACATGGGTCTGCCAATAATGCACAATAATAGCCAGCCAGCCACACAGGAGCACTCATGAGAATCCAGTCTCACCTGTCCAACTGTTCCATTTACATAATTGTCAATTGCATTAGACTTCTCAGCTCTCTTTACTCCTTTCTTAAAATGCATTCCAAGTACTTTGGGATGTTGATGTAACCACCTACCAACAGAATATAGAAGAAATTATCAAAGTTTTGTTCAAGTCAATGCATTCCAAGTATTTTGGGATGTTGACGTAACCACCTAGCAACAGAATATAGAAAAAATTATCCAAGCTTTGTTCATGTCAATGCATTCCAAGTACTTCGGGATATTGACTTAACCACCTAGCAACAGAATATAGAAAAATTATTCAAGCTTTCTTCAAGTTAATGCATTCCAAGTATTCTGGGATGTTGACGTAACCACCTAGCAACAGAATATAGAAAGTTTTTTTACAGTAGGTAGTTGATAATTAAAGTTAACTTACCAGTTATTAGTTTTATCACCAGCTAGTCTAGTACAATGGATACGTGACTGTTGTCCAGCACCCATACCAATAACTTGACCATCTCTAGCATAACAAACTGAGTTTGACTGTGTATACTTCAATGCAATGCTAGCAACTATCAGATCACGTACAGCTGCCTCAGGAAGCTTGAAAAAAATATGATAAAAATGAATTACAGCAATTGTATCAACTAACACATCGCAGGACAGACTCAAAATTGATTCCAATAGACTAATTTTCACTGAGGTTTCCTATTATGCGTGAAATCAACCATAAACACAGGACAAACAAGCAGCCTCTAGGCCGCGATAGCTTCGCTGTTAGCAATGCACATTTCAATTAAAGAACTGAAGACATGAAAATGAGCAAATCTGAGAGAGGTTCATCAAAGGTATGTACACATTGTAGTATTAAAGAAATCTGACTTGTGGGTTTTAACAAGACGAAAATATCACTTTTTACCAAAAATGACAAAAATATTCATCAAAATTTGAGAATTAAAGATATCATCACAAAATGAACAAATCTAAGAGGGGCCTGCCCAAGGTACAGATACACCAATCTAAGCTATAAGAAGTGTAGTTTTCAAGAAGAAGTCAAATAAGTAAAAAGTTGACACGGACGACGACGGACAATCACGCATAAGATGAGCTCCACTAACAAAGGTCAAGCGATGTCAACACTTCATGTGAGAACACGGCAGACATTCAATAATCATACTGTTTTGTTTAGATTTCACAATATTTTCATCAGTACATCCTCTTATCTGATATGACAAGTCATTGATGCAGAAGGATTTTTTCTGATGACGTGCTAACATGTCACTGAATCAAAAAACAAATTTGGTAAAATGAAATTTACATTTTATGAACAAAATAAGTGTAAAAATCATAAGCAAAGCAGGGAACACATAACATTTTAGTTTTTGCCTTCAGAAGTCACCAACAGCCATTCATTTTTTCACAGTACTTTGTTACCATGCAGTCAACAAGCTGACCCAACTGAATTTATTCTTTTTTGATTTAAGATTTCTACAAAATCAGTTTTGTTAGAAGGTACAGTACTCATTTCGCCGAACCTCCCGCCCGCTTCCGGATTTCGATCGCTTTTTTTTCGCTCGCTTTGTTCAATTCGACCGCGCAATTTCCGCTTTTTTTTCGACCGCGCAAATCCGGAAGTATCAGCTCGCGCAATCGCTCGCTCGCCTGACAGCACAACCGCCCGCATTTACAGTTCATTACCTACTGTTTCATGTACAAGTGTATCATTTTTGTTTTTATGATGTTAAAATAAGAATAAATACAATCAGAAATTTATAGAACGACCGTTGAAAAAAATACGGTGGATCACACGGCCATATAAAATTGGTAATAATACATACGCGTAGTAATAATGTCCATCATAAACACGATCGAACCAAACATGTGAAATCAAATACAACACTGACACAGACACAACTAATATGAAATAAAACCATTCTATTTTTGGTGGAGAGCGAAAAATGTCTACTGTAGAGTACGGTATTCGTTGAGTAACCGTGTTTAGGGTGACGGTTGTCATGCACGCATGATTTGGGTTTAACACGGGTCAAGTTGTAGTTATGTTAAAATCCGTGGCACCTATAACAAATGAAGAATATCTGCAGGAATAGTAAGACTGTGAAAAAACGACTGATTGATTGTTATAGAATGACCGTAGTGTACAATTTGTCAAACAAATACAATACTTGCAAATGTAATGTCGGCCAGCGCCCATCTTACTTGTCCGAAGTTGTCGAAGCCGACATCACTGGAGATCGCGTTTTTTAACTAGGCGGCTGGCAAGCGGACTAACACGTTACATAAAAATGTTGAATTACAATTATGGTTTTTATGTTTGCGCCCAATGTCTCGTTATAAAATAAAGGATTCAAATTTTGCAGGGTATTCCGTTTTTAGCGAACTCTGGGCGAAATACTTTCATGAGCTGTACGTAGTTCACTTACAGCCAAAACAAAGTCAGCTTGGACATTAAGTTGTGAGACGCGACAAAACAAACGCTGCCAGTGATAGATTACGTGAATAAAGAACAAAATAAACGCAATCAAAG